ATAAGGGTTTGAGCAAGATTTAATATATATTATTCATATTAAAACACCATTTGAATCTAATTTAATAATTTTTATTCTATTTTTTTAATCAATATTTTAATTGATTATAAATCTTTGTAACCTTATAGTCATTTAGATTTTTTTAAAATAGTACACATATATATAAACTTGATGAGTAGTATTTCGAGCCAAAACGAGCCGAACACGAACAAACACATCTTAGTTTGTGTTCAGCTCGTTAACTTATCGAACGAAATTAATGAGCCGAACACGAGGTGTTCGCGAACAACGAGCCGTTTTGACAGCCCTAGTTTCGGGAGTAGAGATTCACCCACTTTGTTGGAGGATTACAAACGAAGAAGATAAAATCCAATGGGAGGCTACTTGACCGTGATCCGAAAGGTCGAAGGAGAGAACGAGAAGATATGATGATGAAGCGGGAAACACAGTGCCAGTTCCTACCAATTATTTACTGCCATAAGTTGCAGACCCTAGCTTTTGAAGTGGAGAGATTGCACCACCAAATGTCTCCACCTTATTACTATCCAACGAAACCAATCCGCAAGTTCTTCATAGCCAAAAAATGTTGCAGGTGTCGCGGGTTTGGGCATGTTGAAGTAGAATGCACAACCAGGGGAAGGATTTACTTCACCAAGTAGTGTCATAAAAAAGTTGGATAAATGCACTGCAGGCATTGAAGAGCAATTCAAATGAGGATTTTCATCTGATGATGCCTTTACCCGTGGAACTCCCTTGTTTGTGGATACATCCAATGCATTTCCTCTATGTGATCAAAAGGAACATGCTACTTTTGATGAGATTGTTGTTCCTGCTCTACTAGAAGAGAGGGAACTTCTAGTTGAGATAAATAAAGTTCATGCAGACCGGCGATGTCGAAATTTAAAATTTCAGTGGATGGTCTTAATAACGACAACTCACAACTCATAGCATCGCCAGCGGCTACACTGCTAGCTCTTACCTCGGGTTTTTCATATGAAGAGATGAAAGACCAGTGTAGAACTCTTGTTATTGAAACACAACAGAAGATGTAAGTTTTCCTAAACTTCGAAAGTCAGATGGAAGATCTGGAAGATAATAAGAATCACCTATCAACCAAATTCTTGCAAATCTCAACCTCGCTAAGGCCCAACTTGTCATAGAAGAGAAATATATAAGATATTTATTTGTTCGAAATTTGACTAAAGAAAACCTACGTGTAGTGGTTTACCTCTGACTCATATTATGTCGAACCATAACAGATCAATATAGAGGTATGCTCGCAAGTGGGAAAAGCTCTTCAGAAGTTTTTGTAGCCAGGGCAGTCACAATGGGATTGAGGAACGGTTGGCGAGAACCAGAAAGCTTCGACGAATGAGGTCGAAGCTCCTCCAACACCGGGAGATTGACGCTGGGCTTTGAGGAGGACCCAACCTAGGGTTCATCCAACTTGGTTGGACCGAGTGGTCCCCAACGAGGGCGGGCTTTCAACCCCCTTTATAAAGCATTTATAATGTTTCCTTTCTTTCCTTTCTCTGTCCTCAAGTTTCTTCCTCCCCTTTCCCTTCATTTTCTTTATTTTTCCATCATATATTTCTTTTCTTTTTCATGAAATCCCATATTATAAATTATGGCCTATTATATTACTTCCTTTTTTATTCTATTTCTGAAATTGAAAACATTGCCTTATACAAAGTCCTAATCCTTGCCTATTATATTACTTCAATTTTATTATATTTCCTAATTGAAAGCATTGCCTAATATAAGTCCTAATCCCTCTTATATATATGGTCTGTTTTGCTTAGGAAATGAGGTCTTTTGTTGCTTAAGAATTCAACATTCTGTTTGGACAGCTGCGACGTTCTGTGTTTCTCTTTGCGGGCTGTATTTGACTGCGAGGAGGTGCTTCGGCTACTCATCGTCTGAGGTGGTGATCTTCTCTAAGAGTCTGGGTGGTGCTCCGACTGTAGCTCGACCTGGACGAGACATTTTATAGCTCTCTTACAGCAGCCGCAACCCCTCCCCTACATTCACCAGCCACCTCGCAACTCTTCCACAACAACCCAACTTTCACCTACAATTGCCAACCACCT